TTTTTTTTTTTCCTTTTCTTTTTGAAATACGCCATCATTGAATTTATAGTCGCGAACGAAATAGAGTTGGAGACTTATGCTGCAGTTACTTTAGGTCGACGTAAAGCATGACTTCAATTATAGAACTTAAATGCTTAGTTCAGCAAATTGGACGGGCAGGAACTGAGGAAGTGGTTGTTATGAATCAAAAGGAGAGAAAGAAAAAAGAACAAGAGTCGGCAAAAAACATACAAATATAATAATTTCCAATGATTTATGGTTTCCCCTCTTCCTTCCCTTCCCTTCCCTTAACCCCCCCCCCCCCTCTCTTGTCTCGGCGATCACCATCCTTCCCCCAAACGCCCGCACCACCTCCTAACCCCAACAACATCAGAATCTCAGCTTGTTTCAACCCACAAGGCTGCTTAGGGTTTATTTCGAATTTAAAGTTAATCCACGTATTCTTTCAATACGGGCTCCATTTGGGCTTGCCTGGTAGCTCCGAACTTGGGACACTCAAGTTCCATTTGGAGCTGCAGGTCCAGAATTTGCATTCCTACTTTGAACTCCACCGACTCACGAAGCTTGACAACGCCGCCAAGAATATTCTATTCTCACTTACCTCCTCAGCCTGGACCAACATCCAGACCTCTATTACGAAAAACTTCCCTTCCAATTCCTGCAAGCCGGCGCAACGTGATGACGAACACCACTCCATCCCCTCCTCCCGGTCCTGCCATAAAACCGTCTCCGAGTGTACAATCTACTCCGACATCCACGGCTGGTGCCAAGCGCAAACGGGGATCCGCAGGGAAGTACTACGCGGTCAAGGCGGGATATCAACCTGGGGTCTACTATGCATGGAATGACTGCTTGACCCAGGTAACCGGGTACAGAGGTGCAGTGTGTAAGGGCCTCTATACCGCGTTGATATGATGTGCGGGTGCCCGACTAACGGAGGCTTCAGTTCAAGCATTCTCGACTCTAGAAGAGGCAAATGCATTCCTTACAGGCTCGAAACTTCCGTCGGTGCCGGGCGCCACTACTTCCGGCACAGACCCTACTCGATTTTACGGCATACAGCGTGGGCGAGTACCCGGGGTTTATACCGATTGGGCAAAAGCTCAGGAGCAGATCAAGGGATTCGCACGACCGCGTTATAAGAAGTTTTCGACAAAGGAGGAGGCCGAAGCCTTCGTGAAACTAGGCCAAGCTAATGGTGCTTCGTTCGCTGGGAACACTTCAGAGATACAGAAGCTCCCTGGAGCACCCGGGATATTGAGCGACATATCGAAGGACGAGCAAAGCTCTCCTATAGAGCCAGGTGATGGCCCGTTGCCTCCCGGGGCAGAGGATGGGTTCGACCCAAATGTACTTTTGGACCCCAAAACCGGAAAGGTGGTCTATAAAACGAAGGAGCAGAAAAGTGCAACAAAGACGAAGGCAACAGGTCCTCCTGGGATGTTGCGAATTTATACAGATGGTAGTTCACTAAATAATGGCAGAGCGCTTGCGTCGGCGGGAGTTGGCGTTTATTTCGGACCCGGGGACAACAGGTTTGTTACTCTTTCTTCATTTCTATTGGTTGTCACCTTACTGACGCTGCGTTTCCCCAGCAGAAATGTCTCGGAGCCCCTTAAAGGTAGCCGTCAGACGAACCAGCGTGCAGAACTGACAGCCATCCTCCGAGCTCTCGACATAGCCCCACGTCACCGAGATGTGACAATATTCACAGATAGTCAGTATGCGATAAAATGCGTGACGGTGTGGTATGTCAAGTGGCAGCGCAATAAGTGGCTTACGTCGGATAACAAACCGGTTGAGAACAAGGACTTAGTCGAATCAATCCGTGTCAAAATCGAGGAGCGAGATGAGCTTAAAGTTAAGACACTATTAGAGTGGGTTAAGGGGCATAATTCTGACCCGGGAAATGAGGCAGCTGACCGTCTGGCTGTTAATGGGGCGCAACGGGGGGTGTCTGAAAAGGCAGCAGCTTTGGAAGCCATCAAGAATATCCCCGATGAAGTATTTGACGATGATATCTGAACTCAAGGCGTTAAGTCCTTTGTTCTGTTTTCTTCCATAAAATCCGTTTCTTGCCCTATGCTTCGTCACCTTATTTCTTTTCGCTCTTCCTTTTCTCATATGATGACGATTGTTATGCTTTGTTGACTGTCCTTGAGGAGTCAGGGCTCTGTTTATCTTGTGTCTTTATGAGAGTGGTCTGGGAACTGATATACCACCATGATGATATCCTGGGATGGAAATACATTATTGAATCCAATGAGAGGAATAATAATAGATAACATTGATCACATAAATCTCACGATCGACTAGTAGTATTTAGGAGAAACCGGTCCTTGACTGCACCTACTTGGTAAGTCTGATCTACTTCCCGTTAGGGAAAAGCCGAGCAAGTCACAAGAACAAGCTCCGGCACCGATCGTCCCCAGATTTATCTTTTACGATTTCTTCCGTCCTTTGATTTTTGTTCCCCCACCTCTGTGAACCCCCCACGTTGAAAAATACTTCGTGCTGGCCTTCGGCTTTGGATCATCTTACTGTGTGCACCTCCGGTTTTTCCTATAAAGAAGGCTGTCTTGCTCTGTGTGCGTGTGTGAGGTAGTCACTGAGCCTGTCAAGTGTCGGCCGCACCCACCCAGCATTTCTCTTTGAGATCCCAAGTGTCGGCGTGCAGACGTCTCTCAGATGACAGTGATTCCTACAGTCAGGCAGATCTATACTATGGTTGAATAACATAGGCTTGCAATATTATCAATCCCAAGACCAGCTCCCTTTATTATCTCCGGGCATCAAACCAAGGATTTTCCATCACTTGATCTGTGACTCTTGACAAACACTGAAGAGAACTTCAAGGTTTTTAGGTAGACGCACCTACAGATCTGCTATTGCGGTATCGTGAAGCTGCATTCCGGACAACCTGTGACCAAAGGATAAATCTCACGAGCTCTGGAAGAGGCATCATGCCAACCCTGGCGTTGATCAACTTCAACATTGTCTGCGCTACGTTGGGTGGGTTTATCTCAGTCTTTGGCTTAGTGTCCTACTTGTTCAAGGAGAGATTTTATTTGTCTGAAGCATGTTCGTTAAGCACCATCTGTATAGGTTACCGTCCACACCACTGACAACGACAGTAATCTCATTATTGGCTGGGGTTATCTTCTCTCCACATGCAGCCAATTTCATAAGACCTAAGGAATATGCGCTCGGCTCAGAACAAAATCTGGAGGAGATTACAATGTACTTCACCAGATTAGTTCTTGGGGTTCAGCTGGTACTTGCCGGGGTCCAACTTCCGAAACGCTACCTGCAACTAGAATGGAAAAGCCTGTCATTACTGCTGGGACCTGGCATGGCTGCCATGTGGCTATGTAGCAGCCTTGTCGTTTGGGCCATGATACCTAACTTCCAGTTTCTACACGCTCTCATAATTGGCGCATGCGTAACTCCAACCGATCCAGTACTTTCCAATTCGATCGTAAAAGGCAAGTTTGCGGACAAGAATGTCCCTCGGCCACTTCAAAGAATCATTGTTGCTGAATCAGGGGCCAATGATGGCCTCGGATATCCCTTTCTATTTTTTGCTATGTATCTGCTGAAATACACGGGGATGGGAGGGGCCGGGTATAGCGGAGGCGCCGGGAAAGCCATGGGTCTGTGGTTCTACGAAACCTGGGCTTACACAGTGATACTAAGCGTTGTATATGGGATCACTGTTGGCTGGGTTTCTAGAGAATTGCTTCACTGGGCAGAAGAAAAGCGCTATGTCGACCGCGAGAGTTTCCTCGTCTTTGCTATCGCCCTTGCAGTATGTCTACCACCCGGAAGCACCCAGCGATTACTGACGCAGTGTTGACTATAGCTTTTTATTGTGGGTACCTGTGGCATGATTGGAACAGACGACCTTCTGGCTTGTTTTGTAGCAGGTAATGTCTTTACTCAGGAGTAAAGGCCCTCCCTCTTTCTACTGCGGTTCAACATGATGCTGATTTCGATAGTGATTGGTTCCGTCTCGAAACGATGGACGATTCGCTGCAACCAACCATTGATATGCTTCTGAATTTGGCGATCTTTATGTGGTTCGGTGCCGTCTGCCCTTGGTCCTCCTTCCTGAACAACAGTATTATTCCAATCTATCGTTTGATATTCTTGGGAGTCCTGATCCTGCTCGTTCGCCGGATGCCGATTATTTTCGCAATGCACAAGTATATCGGCCAAATCGAGCACCTTCTTCAAGCAGCCTTCGTTGGCTTTTTCGGTCCCATTGGAGTCGGTGCTATTTTCTATCTATCGGTCAGCCGAGAATTTCTACAGGGTATCGTCGTTGATGGCAAAGTCCGGGATGATGCACAGGAGGTTTCCGATGCTATTGATGTCGTCGTCTGGTTCTTGGTCATCTGCAGCATTGTAAGCCGCACCTTAGCCCCTAGCTCCTTGCTGAGCGTAGTTATCTGACAGAGATCTAGGTTGTGCATGGCCTTTCTATACCGTTGGTGAAGGCGGGATATCATCTACCGCGGACCATCTCCCACGCACTCAGTGTTAGTTCCACGCCTGACGCAGAACCGGTGCCGATCGCGAACGTACAACATACCCACAGCACTGCAACACAAGACAACAACCGAGGACGTAAACGGCCCAGTGCACCTCGATCTACGACTTTGCAGATAGGCCGGTCCGTCATAAAAGCGCAATTGACGAATCAGCAGCAACTAGGTACAAACCATGAAGGCGAGCCCGAAAGACCTGTAAACTTGGTAGCGCAGGAACCTGACAATGAGGCTACCTTAGGTAGCAATACGCTGGGAGGTACTATGTAGTAGCCATTGATGCATTAGTGCTAGTGTGATGGCCGCGGAAACTGATCTGCCGATACATTCAACAATGGCCCTTATTCCTCTACCGCCATTGTCAAGACATGTTATGTCAATCGCACAAGAAGCTTAGCATGGTGTATTTTACAATTCTTGTATATTCTAAAGGCCATATAGTACAATGAAGATTTTGTACTCCACGTCATTTGTGGTTACTGTGATCCTTGCATTGTACCTGGACAATTATAGATTGGCGATAAACGCCTCTAAGGATATCCAGAGACGAACAAGCTTTAGGACGCCATCGTGATCCTAGTATATGAATGGCTCAGAAAAGTAAGCTTTTGTTCAGTTACAACAAGAAAGTCTTTTCATTCGAATGTCACGACACTACTATGATGGGTCACATGTAGAAAGAATGCTTAATATTCCCTAGGGAATCGCTTTTGGGCCTTCGTAAAACTCCATCACATCCCTTTTTTTCTTTTACTACACCGCCATGTTATCCTGCACTTCACCGCTAGCATGAATCCACCATACCTCGTCATTAAAGAACATAAGGAATGACAGCGAAATGGTAGAGATAGATAAATCGGAGGGAAACTAGGAAGAATAAAAGGAGTAAAATAGGCATCGTTCCACAAGGTTGGTTCATTCCATAAGAACCAGTAAATGCTAGGATCTTGTTTCGTTGCAGCATCGTCCGAATTCCCCGTTTCCGGACGTAGCAGCCGACCACGTCAAAATAAGATCAGACAACTACCCGTCCGCTGGATCGACTTGTCTATTGTAAAGGAAATTCATGCAGTCGTTATAATCCCATCCCACGCCCACACGTCAGAAACCCACGTGCATCCGAGAAGCAAACCAAGGGCTATGCGAGGAATTTGGGTATATATCAGCGCAACATTCCACCAGATACAACACCGCAATTACAGACTCAAGCAGAACAAATGAATCGGTAAGTAGGAATGTCATCACATACAGAATTGCAAGGAGATGCAAGAGGAAGTGGAGTGTTCAGCTTAAGTTGTGAAACACTCGGTAGCAAGAAAGGGGGGGAATAAATAAATAAAAATTAAGCAATCAGATGAAAAGCTGCAAAGATGATCCAAATCACCAAAGACGACAAGCCCCAGCTCCATTGGTGACCGGTCATCTTTGCAAGCGCGCGTGGATTCGGACAAGTAGTCGGTCGCCGAGGTTGCTACAACAAGCAACCAACATAGAATGCCAACGAAGATACTCTCATATGTGATAATTTAATATCAGACGAAGAGTGCCATCAGACATAATTGGTATAATCAAACGTAGAACAATCTGCCACAGCAGATAACAAGGTAGGAGCAATGTATGTAAGTCGAGAATTACTTGAGAGTAGCCTTTAGCTTATATCTTCTTGTAAGGAGTTGTCGACATTTCCTCCTGTGCGCTCCTCATAAATCATACAATGCGTTCGTAGAACAACAGGTATGCAACCTTATTGTCCTTGGATCCGTATCGTCCAATTGGAGTCCTAGTCCCGGAAGGTGCTTTAGACGTCGCTGGAGCTCCGTTGGTAATGGCTGAAGTGGATTTTTTGCTTGAGTGATTACTGGAGCCTGTTCCATTGACCTGACTCCAACCTCTCTCATTATCGGACTGGTCCAAATCATCAATTTGTTCATAGATATTCGTATTCGTGTCGCGCTTATGTTGTTCAAGGGCTGCCGCAAGCACCTTGGGATCTTCTTCGCCGCCGGCTTCCGCGACATCCTCGCTTCTGACACGGCGAATGACAGTGTCATCAAGGCGAATCCATTCACGACCATCCTGGCGACGGACATCGACAGTATAATGACCGCCACTTGCGTTTTTGCCGTGGTGGTAGATGACGCCAATTAGTCGGTACTTGGGCAGTCCACCCTGGGCCATCATGATATTGCGCCTGTTAGGAGGTAACACTTCGCGAGGGATCTCCAAGTCAAGAGGATATCCAATTTTCTTCCAGATTTTTTGAGTCCCTCTGGTAACGCTGTCGTACTGGAAACGTTTGAGGTGAAGAATAAGAACGGGTGGTAGATTCTCAATGAAGATCTGTTTCGTTGCCGTGACATTCGGGCCACGCGAAGAGTTGAAATCCCCTTGAATACTCTCCGGTTTTGTCAGTCCTCTGAGAGCATCGACAATGTTATTGATCTCGGGCGAGCCAATATCCAACTGTAAGGGTTGGTAAGGCTCCAAGGTCACAGACGTCTTGTTCCCAGGAACTTTGAATTCAGACCGAATTTGCCCGCCGAATATCCTCATGATAGGTGATTCGTAAGACATGTGACCAGAAGATCTTGTAACCGCAGGCTTCTGCTTATGACCAACCTCTAACCACCCATCACCAGACTCATCATCAACTGCAGATGGCTCTTCGCTCAGAGATGCTGCACCATCAGTCTTCATAGATGGCGCATCTTTTGCGGCACGAGCACATTCTTCGTGCATTTCCTCCAACA